CCCCTTTTTTCCAGGAGGGAATTGTGTTATATCCTCATGTTCCCCTTTTTTCCAGGAGGGAATTGTGTTCCTGATTGCAGAATCCTGATATCCCTTTTTCCAGGAAGGAATTGTGCTCATGCCTGCAGGAGTTGGGGATCCTGATACTCCTTTTTCCAGGAAGGAATTATATTCCTGATGTCCCTTTTTTCCAGGAGGGAACTGTATTCCTGATTGCAGGATCTTGTGTCTTTTTTTCCTGGAGGGAATTGTGTTATCCTCATATCTCTATTTTCAGGAGAAAATTGTGTTCCTTACTGCAGGATCCTGCTGTCCCTTTCTCCAGGAGGAAATTGTGTTGTCCTGCTGTCCCTTTTTCCAGGAAGGAATTGTATTCATGCTTTCCCTTTTTTTCCAGGAGGGAATTGTGTTCTGCCTGCAGGAGCTGGGGATCCTGATACTCCTTTTTCAGGGAAGGAATTGTAATCCTGCTGTCCCTTTTTTCCAGGAGGGAATTGTGTTATCCTGATATCTCTTTTTCCAGGAAGGAATTGTGTTTTGCCTGCAGGAGTTGGGGATCCTGATACTCCCTTTTCCAGGAGGGAATTGTGTTTTCCTGATCTCTTTTTCCAGGAGGGAATTGTGTTTTCCTGATCTCTTTTTCCAGGAGGGAATTGTGCTGTCCTGATCTCTTTTTCCAGGAGGGAATTGTGCTGTCCTGATCTCTTTTTCCAGGAGGGAATTGTGCTGTCCTGATCCCTTTTTCCAGGAGGGAATTGTGTTTTCCTGATCTCTTTTTCCAGGAGGGAATTGTGCTCGTTCCGCCCTAGCAGCACGTAAATATTGGAGTGTAAAAGAATCCTTCAACCCCAATATTCTTGTGCTGCTTCAGCGTGGCAGAGACTCAGCAACTGAGGGTGCTTTTATCTGAACTCCATCAATATTAATTAATATTTGAATTGTTGAATCTGCTGCTGTCTGCAGCTCTCACAGAGGCATGGTTTTACTGAGAAATGAGTGTGGGAAAATGAACTGTACAGAAAAGAAGTGCAAGAAAAGTCCCCTGAATTGTGTTTGTTGTTTCCACTTGTTTACCAGCTCCAGAAATTACAGTTTACATCCCATGCTGTAAAAATAATCACAATTTGTCACTATAAGATCATTTATATTCATGTTTGACCTTCAGATTCTCAGGCTTGCTTGCATGTGTTTGCTGTTTTAAAGTCAGGCTGAAGGGAGCAATATGAATTTCTTTTCGAATTTTTACATAAGGAGAATTTAGCTTTGTGCCAGCCAGTTAAAATGTAAATTGAGCTACAAGTATTTAAATATCAATTCCATTAAATAACTATTTCTGCCATTGCCTGTAATTACTAATAAGTCCCAAATCTACTCTGGCCTAGAAATGAGTGATCAGTGGGAGCTTCCCAAGGTCTGAAATGTTTTAATAGAGTTTATTTTAGGCCTAGTTCTGTCCAAGGAGCTTCCAGTTCCCCTCTAAAAAACCCAAAATATTTAAAAAACTTGTTGCTGGGTGGCTGTGCTTGCTTCACTTCCTCCAGGCTTTCTGTGCAGTCCTTTTTTTACAGCTACACCCACAAAAGGAGGATATCTGTTTGCAAATCTCCATGTAATTAATTATTTCCTCCCAACACTTTATTCCTGGATTTTCTGCTTCAAGATAGAGCAAGAAACACCTCCAGGAAAACAACTTGGAGTAAATACATCTCTTTTTTTTTTTAAAAAAAAAAAATACAGTTCTGAAATCTCATTTTGCCAAAATTTCCAGAAGGGAGAAATGTAAAGTGAAAGATGAAGCAGGGTGGGAATGCTGGGGCAGAGATAGTCAAAGCTCAGACTTAGAGAACATTTGGACAAGAAGATTGATATCTTAATTTATTTTAGATTTTCCTTCCCAAATGAGATTTATTTTCTTCTCCCCACAAATTGTTTCAATGAGGGGAAACACCCCTTTTTTTTTTTTTCTTCCTAAAAGCTGAAATTTCAGCCTTTCTACCCTAAAAAGGGGAAATAAGGGGAAGTAGAGCAAATTATTAACCATAAACCAGAGTTTTCTCACCATCATTTTTCTATTTCATCCCACCAGGCTTTCTCTCAGAAACTGCACTGAGATTTTCTGCTTTTTTTTTTTTTTTTTTTTTTTTTCTTTCTCACTGAGGGCAGGGCCTTTCTCTTTTCCTTTTTTTAA